ACAGCTAAAAGTGGAGCTGTACAATCACCTCAGTGGTGTGCCTGGACCTCCCAGCAAACACACTCCCAAATTTCTGATATTTCTGCCAACATTAAATCTATTTTACCACCATATTTTACCAAAATAACCTTCCCAGCCTCTGTGCCTGCCTGCTTTGTTTCCCTCCAAGCAGCTGATGTTGCTGAGGAATTTTTGCCTTGCAGATCCATAGGATTTCCCAGGGGTGACTACAGTATGGAACAAGCATCCAGCTCGAGCCTTGGCAGCTGAAGGAGCCAAAAACAACAATCCCAACCAAGAGCAGCAACAAAACACCAGGATCCTCTCTGCTGTTCTAAAATACATCTGGAGAACAACAAACCAGAGGTGGAAACCCTTCCCCATCTCCTTTCTGCTCCATTTGGGATCGCTCAGATGCTGCTGGGAAGTCCCAAGGTGACATCCAAGGATTTTGTTGAACAAAATGAAGTTTTAAGTGGGGATAAAGCAGGCCAGGAGGGTTCCTCATTCTCCCCAGCCCTATGTGAACATGGTGGGAACAGAAATGAAGTTTCTGGAGCACAGAGAATCCCTTTCCTGAGGGGAAGGAGTTTCCGCTCGGGGCAGGGGAAGGAAGTGACACTGAGCTGTTCTCTGGGCCCAGCTCCATGCAGGGACACACAGAAAATTGATTTTCAAACCTTTGAGATCTCCCAGGAGCCCAACATGAGGNTCTGCTCTCTGTGATTTAATTAGGATGGATTTTTCCCACAAATAAAAAGGTTTTAAACCACTGTTTTTCTCTTCACTCACAGGCAGCAGCTGTCCCAGAATCTCCAGAGATCAGAGTCTGGTGAGTGGGGAGCCCTGGCCAGAGATGTTTCCTCATGTGGGGTTTTCCTGAGACACCACATTGTATTGGGTGCAAAAAACCAAAAGTTTTTCTGTGTTTCCTTTTTCTTTCCTGCAGCTGAGGGAAGCAATGGCTGCCATGAGGAAATCTGCCCGCGATGTTGCAAAATTCATGGATGCTGTAAACAAGAAAACCAACTTGCAGGAAGCACAGAAAGGTGTGGGAGCTTCCAGGGGCTCTGTGCCCTGGGCCTTTGCTTCCCAAAATGGGAAAACAATGATCTGCTTTCTCTCCTAGAAATCTCCATTCCTATTTATTGATCCCAAAATGCTGTTTTAATTTAGGGTGTATTGGTTCTGAATTCCTGCTTTTTCTCCAAGCTGTTTCCATTCACTAAAAAGGAGGCACTTGGGCTGCCTGAGGGGAAGAAGAAAAGCAGGAATTTTTCTTCCAGAACTGTGCTTTGGGTGATTTAGAACTGACTTTCTGCTGTTGTCCCTTGGTAGATGCACAACCCCCTCAGGAACCTCCTGGCACTGCCCAGCCCATCACTGTCCCTGCAGCCCCTAGCAATGATCTCAACACTGATGGGGACCTCAAAGTGGGCATGAGGATTTTGGGGAAAAAAAGAACCAAGACGTGGCACAAGGGGACGCTGATTGCCATCCAGACGGTTGGTATGTGCCATGCATGGGGCTTGCCTGGGATTTTGGGTGGGAAACCTGGGTTAAAAGGTGTCAGAGCACCTGATGTCACCTGGAAGTGACTGTGGGAGCAGCACACGTGTGCTCCATATGAAATCCTGCAAGGCTTTGAAGTGAATTCTGAGTTAATTCTGAATAAAGGATCTCAGAGTGACCCAGAGCGTTGGAATTCTGCTGTGCAATCACATGGCTTTTGTTTATTTTCCCCTTCATTTATCTCCTGTTTGCCTTAAAATGTATTTCCAGGTGCTGGCAAGAAGTACAAAGTGAAATTTGATAACAAAGGGAAGAGTTTGCTCTCGGGCAACCACATTGCCTACGATTACCACCCATCTGCTGAGAGGCACCACGTGGGCAGGAGGGTGGTGGCCAGGTACAAGGATGGCAATCAGATGTGGCTCTATGCTGGGATTGTGGCTGAAACCCCCAATGTCAAGAATAAAGACAGGTATTCTTATTTCCCATGCTCACACACCTCCATCTCTGTTTCTTTTTTTTTTGTTTTAGGCCAAAAAATCAAAGGGTTTATTTGAATTCCCTTCAGGTGCTGAATTGAGCCCTTCCCAGGAATGTGATTCTGACTTTGTTCATCTTTCTTATCTCAGGGTGGAGCTTCCACTCTTGCTCATGGCCCTGAGTCAGGAATTAGATCTGCTAATTTATTCAAATTATCACCCAAATGTTGAGTCTGGGCTGCTTGAGGCATGAAACAGTGGGAGGAAATGGGAGCCCTGGGAGGGCAGAGTGGCTGAGGTGATGCCAAAGCTCTTTAGGAGGAGAAAGAGCAGGTTTGGAGCAGGAATAAAAAAGGGCAAGGCTGCTCTGATCTGTTAAAATAAAGGTTTGTGGTTTTCCTGATTGATAAAGGATTTAATTCTCCTGGATCTGATGTAAATTGTGCTGGATTTTATCTGATTTGTGTTTAATAACTGAAAATGAGCTGAATTTGATACTCAAATTGCAACTTCTCTGCTGGTTGTGATGCTGATCCCTCATCCTGCAGCTTTTGTACAGCTCCAGGGCTTGGAGTCCTCACTCAGAGGCACTGAGTGGGTGCCTCATTCATCTTCCCTGCAGAAACCAGCAGCAATTGAACATTTTCTATTCTTTATCTCCCTTTCTTGGGGCACAGAGGGGATTTGGAGCAGAGGGAAAGGGAATTGTGCTGTTTGAGCAGGCACGGGGAGCACAGGGAGTGTTTGTCACTCCTCATTCTGTCCCCACCCAGGACTGGGCTGTCTCCAGGAGGAGCAGGAGAGATTCTCCACTTCCATTCCACGCTGTGAGAAGTTTCTTCAGCTCCTAATTCCTGTTTTTTTTTCCCCAGGTTCCTGATTTTCTTCGACGATGGTTACGCGTCCTACGTGAAGGCGTGGGAGCTGTACCCGGTGTGCCGGCCCCGTGAGTGATCCCTGCCCCTCCTGGCCTGCTGAGCTTTTGGGGAGGTCCAAAAACGGGCTTGTCCCTTGTGCTGCTGAGCCTGGGCACAGCTGAAATCCTGAAATTTATTGCCAGGCTGGGCTCAGGATGTCCCACCACCAGCAGCATTCCAGCCCTCAGGATCACCTTTGATTGACTTTAGGAAAAATACACCTAAAAAAATTATATAGAATTAAAGTTTCTTTTTGTTTTGTCTTATTCCCTTTTTCTCCCACGTGTCCCAAACAGTGAAAAAGGCCTGGGAAGACATTGAGGATGTTTCCTGTCGGGATTTTGTTGAGGAATACATCACTGCCTACCCCAACCGGCCCATGGTGCTGCTGAAGAACGGGCAGCTGATCAAAACCGAGTGGGAAGGCACCTGGTGGAAATCCAGAGTGGAGGAAGTGGATGGAAGTCTGGTGAAAATCCTTTTCCTGGTAGGAATTTCACTTCTCCCATCAGGATTAAATTTGAGCCTGGGGATTTGATGGGTTCTGTTTTTCTTGTTCATCATGGCAATAATTGAGGTTGGTTGCCACATCCACAGGGGTTTTGGACAATTCCAGGGACAGTAACTCCACCACTGCCCTGGTCACCCTGCCAGGACATGAACACCCTTTCCAAGAAGAAATTTTCCCTAATACCTAATTAGAAATTTCAACATAAATAATTTCATTTAACAATTTATTTTCTGTTCTGCCTGCTGTTTGTCAATCCTCATTGTTGTCTCCTTGTGTTTTCTCTATGTCTCACTCCAGGAAGCTCTTCCCATGGGAACTTCAAATGTTTCCTTCTCCTTCCCACAAGAGGACAGACGTTGTGAGTGGATTTACCGAGGTTCCACACGCCTCGAGCCCATGTTCAGCATGAAAGCTTCCACAGCTTCCACCCAGGAAAAGAAGCAAAGTGGGCAAACCAGGACTCGTCCCAACGTTGGTTGGTGGCATCTTTTGGTTTCATTTAGATCCTGCAGGCTGGTTTGGGTGTGGTGGGGTTTTTTAGCAGAGTTCCTGGAGGTTTCAGGTTTCTAGGTTTTGGTTTTATTTCTTCTGACGGGAGATTTCAGATTTCCACCGAGTCTTTTCCCCTGACACAGGAGATTTAGATTTCCAGGGTTTTTGTCCTCTGGCATAGGAGATTTAGATTTCCTGTGGGATTTTTCTCCTGGAATAATGCCACAAAAACCAAACTGCAATTGGGTGAAGTCACCAAAATTTTTGGGGGAGTTGCTGTGCTCTGAGCTTGGTGATGATCCACCATTAATCCCAAATCCCTCTGGTTTGGTTCCTTCCAGGAACAAATCAGTATTTTGGGGCCCATAGAGCCAACTTGGGATGACATTAAGGATTTGACTCTGTGGTTTTTTCCCTTCCCCACCAGGTGCTGTGAGGAGCAAGGGCCCTGTGGTCCAGTACACCCAGGATTTGGCAGGAGCTGGTCCCCAGTACAAGACTCCAGAGCCAGCTGCACGTCCCTCGTCTCCTCAGCCTGCAGAGATGGAGTAAGTACCAGAGGCACCTCCAGCACCTTCCACCTCTTTGCTTCTCTCCAGCACTCAGCTCTCTCAGGCACCACCTTTTCTGTGCAGAGGAATCCTCAGCTGCAGGCGCCCTCCATGCCCTTAGCCATGATTTTGGGGAAAAACTTTTACCTGAAGCTGCTGGATGAATAACTGGGGGCGGGAGCTGAGAGCCACCAACTCCCCGAGCCAAACATTCCTCCTCAAGGCTAAAGCTTTGCACTTGCCTTTCCAAATGAGACCTTTGCTCTTTCTCTTCCCCAAACCTGAATTGCTCCCTCGTGTCACGATCCAGGCGCTGGCCCCCGGCTGCCCTGTGTCCCTGCACGTGGCCGGAGCTGCTGGCTGACCTCGCTGCGAGCTCGGGATCAGCGGTCGGTCCCGGTGGGCACGGAGCAACCCACGGCCGAGCCAGGGCCCCAAGGGGGACGCTCCCGGAGCTGCAGGCTGAAGGAGGCCTGGAGGAACGAGGAGCTCGGCTTGGTGATGGAGGGAGTGTGGTGGAGGACACCAAGGAACCTGGGAATGTGCTCGGGGATGTTGTAGGGGAGGGAGAGGCTCTCCCAGTTCATTTTTGTCAGCTCTGTGGATTTCCCATCTGTATTTACGGGCACCTGGCCCCGTGCCAGCACGTTTTCTGCTCTGCCTGTGCCCTGCTGCTGGGGCACCAGGGAGGCAGGACATGTCCCAGGTGTGAGCAGCCTGTGCAGGAGGTCAATCTTTACTCCCCACAGGCTTTCCAGGTGTAGCAGCAGCAGCTCAAACCCCACCTGCCCCGGCTCGGGGGTCCTGGGGGCTCCTCTCCAATCAGCAGTACAATAGAACCCAATTTACCCCTGGAAATGCTCCCTCTGTGCTGGTCTGACCAGGATTTGGGAGTGGAAGCCACAAGAAAATCAGTTTTTCCATAATGCCAGAGATCCTGGATGCTGAAGGAGGTTCTGGCTGGGCCCCCACCCCTGCAGGTCCTGGGACACTCTGGGACCATGGGCAGTGTCACAACATGAACACAACCAAGCTGGACCTGCAGCCCTTTGTGCCATCACCAAATCCTTTCCCATTTAGGCCTTGCAGAGCTTTACAAGGAATTTTTTCCCTCTTGGGCTTGGCTTTAGGACGTGGTTTTTGTGCAGCTGCTTCCCTGCCCTTCAATCCCAACTGCCCCTGACCAGGGCGCAGAGACAGCCAGGCCTGGCTGTGTCCATGCTGGTCCCAGGGATTCTGTGGGGTTCAAACACTTGGATTTCAGATTATTAAAACTGAGAACAGTCTCCTCACTCTGGTGTTTTGTTTCCTCTGAGGAAAGCCTGGGTTTCTCCCCGTTCTTTCAAGTTTTTTTCAGTGTTGTCACCACTTCTGACTGGTTTAAGCCCATTTTTCCTCTTGTTCTTTATGAGATGTGTTTGAACACTTTGCTTTCAGGCAGCTGTTGGCAGAAACCCTCATCCCTTCCTGCTCTCTTTGTCTCCTCCCTTTCTCCCCAATAACTTCACAGTTTTTCCTCTTCAGCAGCTGACTTGTGGTCATTTTCTGATTTATTGATGTAAATGGGTTGAAAACTTCCTGGAATGGTTTGGAAACCTGCAGTTGATTGAAAACTCCTGAAATGTGTTGAGAACCTGTTTTTTTAGAGCCCCAACTAGCTCTTTCATCAGGGATGTTATTACATTCCCTTGCACAATCTTATCTTGTTCCTTAGTCCTTGCAAGAGAATCCTCTGGATTTGTTCCTCCTACTCAGGCCTGGTTGAGCTTCTAGAAGCTGGTTTCTGCTAAGCCAGGGGTTTCTTCATGCTCTGGTTTGTCCAGCTTCCTGGGATTAAGGCCTTGTTACCTTTGCCTCATTTCAGAATCAGAAGTCACTTGGAGCTGCAGCTGAATTCTGAAATTCAGAGTGGTTGTGGGATTGCTGTAGCAAAACCAGCCAGAAATGGGCTGATTTTCACTCTTATTAGGAAAAAAAGCCACTGCTGGGATTCTCCTGGCTTTCTGAATTCCATGGGGCAGTGTTACTTTGATTCCCAGCGTTATTTTGCTTTTCCATGCTCCAGATCAGCTTCTCCTTCCTTCCTGCAGGTGCTCGGACACACAGCTGGCCCAGGGCAGAAAGCAGGTGGCCAAGAAAAGCACGTCCTTCCGTCCTGGCTCCGTGGGCTCCGG